GTTGTAAGCACTGTGTAACTGCCTCGAGGGTGCTTGACCATTTTAACACAACGTGGTGCGATCATCCCCCTTGCGCGGAGTGAGGGTTCTCCACCCCGCACAACATGATCCACTCGACCACCAGTATGGTTACCGCCAAAAAAAAGGGGGGGCATTGGGAGGGGTGTAACGGGTGATGCTCATGTTCCTTTTCGACGGAACACATGGACGTGGGAGTTTAAACGTAGGCCCCGAGGAGGTGGAGGGTCAGGCACTGGGGGTGTCACCGGTGATTATTGTGTTCCCTTCCGACGAATTATTGGGGGTAGGTGGGAGGTAGGGTGAGAGTGGGCGGGGGCGGGGGGCGGGGCGGGGAGGGTCCTTCTGAACGCCTTGCTTGGCCGTAAGGCCGGGTACGACACAAGATACCACACCCGCAGACAACACACCTCGCACAGGACCACAACATGGTGGCAAATACACTCCCGGCGGGTCAACATGAGCCCAAAAAGACAAACTGCAAACAATTTCCGGGTCAACATGAGCCCAAAAAGAAAAACTGCAAACAATTTCCGGGTCATCATGAGCCCAAAAAGAAAAACTGCAACCAATTTCCGGGTCAGCACGAGCCCAAAAAGAAAAACTGCAACCAATTTCCGGGTCAACATGAGCCCAAAAAGAAAAAAATATATCAATGAGAGGGCGACATTGCAGAATACCCACACAAGCTACCCCATAAACACACTCCCTGTCCAATCGTTCTTCTTCCACCCACCAGTTGTTGACTACCAAGAGCTCGAACAGAGTCACCAGTCCCTCGGGGTAGGAGTTGAAGTTGTTCTCGTAGTAGTACGGAGAGTTGGCGAACGGCGTGTCCTGAGGCACGGAATTTTCAACAGCATACGCAGGGGCGCGGTCGTGGAAGTTATTGAAAAGGCGTGCTGTTCCAGGAAAGAAAACATATTGTTTCTTTATCGTAAGCCGCAAACACTATATATATATATATATATATCTTCCCCCAAACCAAAACAACACATACGACAACATTTCGTCCGTCATTCGCATCGCACACAACAGTGCCAGAGACGGAAGCAAGAAAAAAACAAAAAAAAAACGCTTACCCCGAAATCAGCACCAGGGGTGACCACCCCGCCGTACAAGGCCATCCCTAGGTAGCAGTACAGGTGGAAAACCGTAAAGATGACGCCGGCCTGGGCGAACACCGAGGGAGTGATCATGTACCTGACGAAATCCGTACCATGGTATGTACCATCAGGACAAACAGCAACAGAGAGAGCGAAGCGACGGCAGCACAGGCGTGTTAGATCAGTGCTTAACAGTCCCGCTCGGTAGTCGTATGTGCGGAAGTAGTACGGGTGAACATCCGTGAAGATAACGCCGGCCTGGGCGAACACCGAGGGAGCAATCATGTACCGACGGAATTCGTACCATGGTACGTTCGATGAGGGCCAACGTCGACAGCGGATGCGACGGTAGGGGTGTTACATGTCTCGGCGAATGACAGCGCAGAGATTTTGACCATGTACTGACGAAATTCGCGCGTTCCGTCGGGACAAACAGCAACAGAAGATGCGAAGGCAGGGGTGTCACATATCCATGGTCGATGACAAAAAGGTTGTGCCGCTCGTCTGGAGCCGGGAGGGGGTCGTCGATGTACGGCAACACCGGGGGGGGTAGGGAATAGGTACAAGTGAGGATAGGGGGGTTACGCCATGAGACGAAGGGCGGGGCGAGGGTGAGACTGAAACGCTGCATCCATTTAACACCGATGGCCGTTGTTCGTATCAGTGATTCCGGGGCGTTTTTCATCAATCCTTGCGTACATCATTCCTTGCTTGCATTGCGACAATCAACATGGTGGGGGCGATCATCAATTCGTTAACTCTTTACTTACATTACCGACACCACGTCGTGGATGGCGGGGACCAGTCTGAGCAGCGTGCCCAGGTCCAAGCACCTCGCGCTCATTAGCAGCCCAATCGACACCTGCATGTGCAACTTCGGTGGCGATGCCCTAGATAGCGTTGAGTGGGAGCCAAGCCGATTGCGTGGGGGGGTAACGGCAACAAGCCACGCAGGCAGATACCAACGGGGTCCAGAGCGGGAAACAAGAAGATAAGGAGGGCGAAACACATATAATTGTACCACACTTGTTTTTCATGAAAGTTTCGAGCAATTTGGAAAGCGTGCTGCGGGCATAAGCTCTCCAATGCATCGAGTTGTTTTTTAAATACACCGCTTTTGCGCGAGTGTTGCAGCAGCGTAGGTTCTCTCCCGTGCGCCGAAAGCCCAAGGCAAGTCGCCCCACACGAGAGAGAGAAAGACGCAGACGATGGAGGTTCGAAGGTTCCTACCACTCTGTCCGGAAATACGTGGACCATTCGGGTTCTAATTCATTTGCCCCAATGGTCCCTATATTCCCGAACGAAGTGGTGCTGCGGTCCAACATGTGTAGCAGCGTGGGAATGGCGCAGGCAACACGAACCCAAAAGGCGCACAAGCTTGACTGACTTGTGCCAATCCACAAACGCCCTCCTTCAACCCAACGTTCATACCAAACGCGACAAAGTCCAAGGCGATCTCCCCCTCATTATACAAGATTGAATGGCGATCTCTCCCCTTGGTGCCGAGACATCCTCCCCTGCTTCCTTTTTTTCTGTGGGACGCCTTTGCCGCTCAAAGAAACGCGGCGGTTCAAGTGAACCATTCACACAACAAATGACACTTGTACCAGGCGGTTTCCTCATTTGACCGGGAACACCTGTAGCTGATACATGAAAATGTCGGCATCAGGGGAGGGACGTTTTCCCTCATGGGTGACGCCATGTTGTCCCTTCCAAATTCCCTCGAGCTACAAGCTCGCCACCCCGGAAATTTGGAAATTCGGCAATGACATGAGGAATGTGGTGGCGACAGCAACGACGACGGCAACAAACGAACTGGCTTCGCCAGTCCGCCAACCCGGTAATTTGTCGCGGAAGACGGGACAAACCAAGGGGCACGAAGGAGGACGAGGAACCGCCCAGAAAACAGGACGATTTTTCTACTGAGGAGACAGCAACAACGGCGGCAACAAACGGACCAGTTTCGCCCGTCCGCCGATGTGTCACGGAAGAGGGCACAGACCGCCTATAACAAAAACTCCCTGCGCGACAAAGACGCCATCAGGTGACGAAACACTACAGTCGTCAGAAAGGAAACTCAGCCGTCCGCTGCTGTCTCGTCTCCCTTAGGTGTGTGCAAGAGGGAAGAAGGGACGGATGCGAACGGCTGAGTTCCTTATCTCCCGGCTATGGTGTTGCAATTCCTGATTGCTTCTTGTCGCGGGGGATAGACGCCGTAGGTGACGCAAGATATCACCCACCCTAGATAAATTTTGAAGGTGGCGGTGGCGTTGGCACCGTCTCGTCGAGCACCTTCCGAAAACTTATAATTCGTGGTGGAGTAGTCGAGCTCTGAAACTTAGTACAGAGGGTGTGATATATTGCGCCACCTACGGTGATGTTGGACGGTCCGTGCCCAGGCACGCTTCGCGCAGACGAGGTGGAGGGAAGGAAGGCTTCAGATTCAGTTTCTTCTTTCATCGCCACTGCTGTCGAGCACAGGCTATGTTTAGGATAACATCCACGGTCGAGCTGTGTTTCTTGGCGCTATTTTCTTATTCGGGAAAAAACGAGCCTGGTATGTTTTTCTCACCTGACGCCCCCATGCCAAGGCAATTACAACCCCGAGAGCGATACCAAATACATTCCCCGAACATCAAAAACAAGAAACCTCACTAGATCCCCCGCCCTGCATGACGACCACCAAAAACTGGTCTGTTTTCCCACCTGACGCCCCGAACGCCAAGAAAGTTACAACACAGAGAGCTAATAACAGCTATACCCGCACAAAAACAAGAACCCTCACTTGTTTCCCTGCCCCTCCGTGAAGACGCTCCCCCACTCTCGGGGAGAAGTGAAGACCACGAACCACAGCAGGCCCGACGCAGTGAGCGCGAGCGACAGGGTCTTCACGCGGTTCCAGGGAAGGATGAAGTACGCCTGGTTGGTTGCACGGTGTTGGGATAGCGTTGTGCACGTGGCAATTCACAAGGGTGTCGCGACACCGTGTCAATTTGTACACGGGCGAAGGATTGGCGGGTGGAACGCGGGGGGGGGAAAAATACGACTGTGAGTCTATGAGCACATGCCATCGTGTCAGAATTTGCGAAAACTTCCCTTGGAACTAGTTCGCTGGAACCTTCGACTGGGTGTGTCTGGAAGGGAAGTTTCCGAACGATCCTCGGATCCTTCCACACCACCGTCACCTACAACAACAAACAACGACGACAACGCAACTATGTCGCTGGAATTTTCCACTGGGACGAAAACCCGACCAATCGATTCCCTCGGATCCTTCCACACCAACAACGACGCAAACAACGCCTCACCCGGATACCCGTCATGACAAGCTCCGTGAGCACAGACGCTCCCAGCAGGATCGATGTCGGCAGCAGGGTGAGCCAGAAGATGCCCGTGTTGAACACCCATGGGCTCATGGCGCAGCTGATGACCACAAACGCCATGTTCCACACGTACAGCGGAAGCAACAAGTACAGCCCCGTACTAAATATCGACACGCAAGCAACGGCAAGAGGGGGGGAGGGGGGGGGGGG